TATTCAATCTGGATGCTGATTATATAATCTGAGAACAACAGCAATCCTGATGTGGATTTTATTACATTCTGTTAGATCTCATCATGGGGGGGACCTTAACTGCCAACCCCCTGAAAATCCTGGCTCAGCCCAGTTGAGCCTAAATAACTATGGCGTCTTCCTTCACATCCTGTTTTGGTCCTTCTTCTATATGTACATAACGCAGACACAGCTTGTTGATGTTCACGTCAGAAGCCTTGCATTTACCATTTGTTTCATTGTTTATTTTCCCTTATTATGGTGTTTAGGGTTATGCAGTGAAGAAAAGCTTTGCCCTCTGTTAATCCTTTAAGGAGCTACCATACACATGAAATAAGCCACATGGGATCTCATGTTTCTATTGCCGGGGTAAAGGCCCATTTCTTGGTGAAGGCCCGGATGTGTGTATGTGGGGGTGTGGACTCAGGCATAGATGGAGAGGAGAACAAGATCTAGAATGGGACTCACATTTATGAAGGTCTTTTGCAGATATTGTTGATGTTATCATGAAATGAGGCCACATATACAGTCATCGTAGCCACGTGGTATGCACAGCATTCAGTTTTTTCCCTTTTAAAAATGTATTCTATTGAGATATAATTCACACCAATTTTAAGTGTATGATACAGTGAGTTTTGACAAATGTTTACACTGGGTATTTACATTTAGCAGCTTTATTAAAATATATTTTACGTTTCATGGAGTTTACCCAGTTAAGATGTACAGTCAGTGGGCTCAGTTTTTTCATAGAGCTGTATAACCATTACCACAGTGAATTTCAGAACATTTTCACCAGCCTAAAAAGAGATCACCTTCTCATTAACAGTTGCTCCCCACTTGTTCCCAGCCCCATTCATCCTGGGTAACCACTAATCTACTTTCTGCCTTTACAAATTTGCCAATTCTGGGCATTTAATATCTGAACTTCAAATAGAACCATATAATATGTTTTGTGTGTGTGTGTGTATGATGACTTGTTCAACTCTGCATAACGTTTTCAAAATTTATGCATGTATTAGTAATTTGTTATTTTTATATGATATTACATTGTATGGATTTACGACATCTATTCATCGGTTGCTAGGTATGTGTAATTTCCCCACATTTTTATTTTATAGCATTAATTTGTAGCATTATTTGATAGCATTAGTTTATTATGTGTGATATTTAACTGACACCCAGTTTCTATATCCCCATGATTTCTTTGTAATTTCTTCTTATAACACCAGGACCCTAAAGCATAGAAATGCCTTCGTCGTCTCTTGACCTCAGAAGAGCGCCACAAGTGAGCTCACGAGTTCATAGTTACGATCCCTCTGTAATAAATTATTTTCACGTAGAATTCAATTTATCTTTATAAGAGAAACACGATTTGCTCATCGTTCTCGTGGTGAAATGTTAGTGGGAAAAGGCAGCATTCATGCAGTGAGGATAACTTGTAAAGGAGAAATACAAGGGGCTTCATAAAGTTTGTGGGAAAGTGGAATTTAAAGAATGGAAATTTCTCATGTGGGGTACTAGTCCAAACAAACGAATGGGTCCAAGGGGCAGTTGTGTAATTGAGGGGTAAACTTAAAGAGACATCAGACAAAATAAGGCATGCAAGGGCTCACCTCTGGAACTGCCCTGACTTCAGGAGCCAAGTCCATGCAGAGAGAAAATATATTTCCAATCAAGGCTTATATAATCTCAGAGGGTGTGCAATCCCCCCTAATTACAGGTAACCACATACTTAACAAAGTGGGCTGTACTCTAACCCTAAAGGTCCCTGAGTCCATTGGAGGGGCTACCTAACACCTGTGCCCAGGCAGGTAAGTAGGGAGTGGCTGTCTCAGAGTCTAGAGAGCAGTAGCACGTGTCTGCCTCCATAGGCGAAGCTGTCGGCTACATAGCAAGCAGCCATGCGCTGGTAAGAGGTAACTTTAAGGTAGCACTATTATGGAGTAACTTTAAGGATACAGTGGGTATTATTGTTATCATTATTGAGTTCTATATTCTAGATGTAAGCTCACTGTCAGATGTATGACTGGCAAAATTTTTCTCCTATTTTGCTATCTTGATATTATCCTTTGAAGAACAAATTGTTTTAATGTTTATGAAGTGAAATGTCTCTGGTTTTTTTTGCATGTGAATTACAGTTGACTAAAGCTATTACTAATCACTTCAAATGAGATTACAGATTACATTTTAGTTCTGATTTCAGTATAGATATAAAGCTTGATAAACTAGAGATTAAGCCTGCGCTGCCAGAAGCAATTCTATTATTTATATTGCATTCCCCGCCAAGTTATGACCTTCGTCCTTCTAATCACATACCAGCAATTCTCTAACAGTGCAGGTAGATTAAAGGGATCCTGGGAATTGGGAAAACATTGTTCAGAAATTATAAACAGAATGTAGAAAAAGCAAGCCATTATTTGGGTGGTCCCAATGTAAAAAACATAATTCTTTGTAGGTTCTAAATAAAAATGTAGACAAAAAAGTATGCAGTGAGGCATATCAAAGCACATATTTCAAATATAAATTTATTAAATCTTATTTCATGGGGAAAAGGTAGTTCAGATGTCCAGACATTCATCCCTCTCTTTGGAGTTCCCGAGTCTGCCTTCTGCCACCACTCATTTTCCACGTCCACTTTCACTTTCGGATCCTGAAGTAATTTCATTCTACACCATCTGACATGGAAAAGGCATCACATCTGCAGCCATCAGTTGCAAAGGCGAAAAATCTCTGACAACTGCTTCATAACAATCCTGGAATACATACATAGCACTTAAAACTGGCAACAGTTCCCCCTGGGTCAAAGAAAGACATCAGCTTGACACAGAATCTACTCTTGTAGACTCATCTGTTAGTGAACATAGTTACATTACTGCTCTTAAGAGGTAACTTCAAGAATAGCACGAGAGTGTGGGGAGCAGAGAATGTTTACAGATGCATCTTTTATTCTCATAGATTAAGTAGCAACAAAAATAATTTTATGCTTGGGGTCACTACAACATGAGGAACTGTATTAAAGGGCCGCAGCATTAGGAAGGTTGTATGTATACCAGTGCTTTATAACATCATATCTTTCTGGCCAGAATTGATATACTTGGGAGCTTTGCATTTCAAAAGTTCAATGCCTAAATGTTTCCGGTGAGAGGAATTTCTCTGTCTTTTCTTGAGTGTCACCCAAGGGAAAGGAAGAAAAAGAAATACAAAGAGTTTCGAGATAGAAAGACAGTCGTCTATGAATCCATACTATTAAGATCCTGGGGAAGTGAGTTACCACTCTCCTCTCATGACAAATACTGTTTTTATTTGTGACTCTGCTGCTCTGCCTGTATAAATTTATACTTTTCCTGAAGTCCAATAAATTGAGGGTTTGAATGAGTAATAATCTCATTAGTATTTGTATTTATTATATATTTGAGTGTTTCTGTCATATTTTAGGAGCCCTGGTGGCGTCGTGGTTACGAGCTGGGTTGGTGTTCGCAAGGTCAGCAGTTTGAAACCACCAGCC